CTCAGGTGAAACACACTTGGGCAGCTTTGATCCAGCCCTGGGCACTGTGTGGAGACAGGACAGCACTGCAGACAGGTGGATCAGGGAACTGCATTAGAAACAAACATCAGAGGTTTGGCTCTGTAAGGACTGAAAACGCATCCGGAAGCTGCACACTCTGCAGCTCACACCACTTGGGGCAATATAAACCAAGTCACTGCAATAGCAGTTGCAAATTAAGAGTAAAAATTAACATTATCAGACATTTTGAGTAGTATAGAGATGGAGAAAAAGGGAATGACCTTATTTTCCTGCACTGGATGTTTTTCTATGGTCAGATTTTGGATGAATTCATAGAAACTTTTTTCTCTTATTTCCATTACTCATGGTTTAAAAACTAGGAGACATTTTTTGCACATTGTTTTGACCACTGAAGAATTACACTGTCATTTCAGAATTGTGCTGATGTGATTAAGGCTATATTAAATTCTTCCCAGGAAACAACCTGTAGGCCAGTTTTGTTATCAAAAAGTGGCTTTAAGGAATTCTAATGTTAAAAAATACTGAGTTGGGTATTTAAAAATCCAGTGAAAAGTTAGCCCTTACTCAGGAGAGGGTTTTTTCTCCTTCAGAAACTGGTTCCCCCCTGCTTGTTTTGATTTCATTGTCTGCAAACAAGTGAGATCTCTGTCTGCTGTGCCACCCACTGACTGATCTGGCTTGGGCCCTGCAACACGTCACCAGCTTCACTCTTACAGTGCTGAAATCCATGGATTCACCACAACTCCCATTAGAAAACCAGATTACAGGATGAGGAGCTCTGAATTTAATGGCTGGAACCTACATCAACACACCTCCACAAACAGCCTGCAGCACAGACACTGCAGGGGAGGGACTGAGCACTTCTCTGCTAGAAAAGGACAAAAGAATGACTTTAAACCCATCAGCCCAAGGGAGAATTTATACCTGGAAATAAAAGGACATTTATGGTCTGAACCTTAGGAAGCTGCACAGTGCTCAGACTGGGTTCAAGCCCTTCCAGCACACCAGAGCTGTCAGCCTGGACAAGGGCAAGTCTCAGTGTGCATCACTGTAGTGACAAGACAGTCCCCAAAGCCCAGAGAGGGTACATGGACACCTGGAATGGCACACACAGGGTGTGCTGCTCGTGCTGCTGCTGCTCACTATCTCCCTGCACCAGTGCACACCCATCCTAGCTGCAAACCAGGAGAAAAATGCACTGAGCTTCATAGAGCTGCTTTGCTGTCATCCTCCCCATAAGACCACCTGCAAGAGGAAGAAAAATCCTGCAGGATGCAGCTGAGTTCCTTCACCTTCCTTTCTGCCCAGTGCAGCACCACTGCAGCAGGCAGGATGCACAGCACAGCTCCTAGTTCTCCCAAGAAAGCCTGTTTAGTCTGGCTCTGCAGAAGACAAATTATTTATTCCCAAGACCTCACGTCAGTGAGGACAGTGGTACCATGAACACAACTGAGAGCACGGAAAGTAAAACGACAGAGCCCAAATGCCTCTTGTCCTGATTATACTGTGCTGGACATGGCCACAAATGGGAAACTCCCACACCTGTCTTAAGAAATGTGAGGTCACCATCAGCATCTCTCCCTCCCAACAAAAAAGTGTGTCTTTCATCACAGAGGGGAATTTCCTTTCAATGTGGATTTGGAAGTGTGGACCAACAAGATTTAGCTAAGATATTTAAACACTTCACTGGTTGCTCTGCAAGTTTCCTAACAAGCCACTTCTTTCCTCTAATTCACATAGTCTCTAGCCTTAGTTTGAAGTTAAATCCATTGCACTGAAGCCTCCCTGCAATGCCCAGTAATTGGAACTCATGCCAACAAAAACATTGAGCCACTCTGCCTTGACACAGTTATCAGCCTATTCATTTCTGGCAAAGGACTCAGAGGTAGACAGAATTTATTGAAACCAAAAATGAAATAAATTGCTACAGCAGCCAATTTTTGCCCAGTTTAGCTTTGGCAGAATGGCTAATCTCTTTCTCTCCAGGAAATATGCAAAAAGTTTTGGAACCATAAGTGCTTTTTCATGATACATATGCTAAAACACACAAGCTAGGCACAACAAAGTGGCTGAGAAGGCATAATAGCAATTATGATAACAGAAATCTCTCATGTTGCCTAAAGTTTCACTCTGGGAAAAAAAAACCCAACAATATCATTGTGGAATTTCATCTCTTTCTGGCTCAATTTCAGCAACATACACAAGCTTGAAAGATAGGGAACTCAAATTTTCAGAGCTGGAAGTCAACAGGGAAATAATGTGAAAAATTCCAAGTCAAGCAGAGTCCTGTGCTGCTTGTCCATCACCACAAGGTCAGGCCCTGCAGGACAAACAAGCTCTGACTGAACCCTGTGCCATCTCCTTGTTGGCAAGGGGTAACACAAGTGCAGGTGACCAACTCTGGGAGCAACACACAGCACTGCTACACAAACAGTGTCAGAATTCCTTTTCCTTATGGCTCTACTATTTTTCACACTGACAGCAGCAAGTGTTAAAAGCTTATTTTAGTCACTAAACAACCACAATCCAAACGTACAAGAGGGAGAAGTTCTGTGCAGTCAGGTTAAGGATTCCCCCGAGGCCAAACTACACATCAACCACCACTGAACATCCTCTGTGGATTTTCAGTGTCTGTACTCCGTGTTACATCGCCAGGAACACAAGGAATTGCTTCACTATTTATTGGCTCATTTTATGGAAGACCAGAGAGATTCCCTAGAGACTGTTCCAAACAGAAAACAGGACTGGAGTTAGTGATGGGGGAATAGATCCTTAGGCACTTTGAGGACTAGTGTGCCACCAACCCCGAGGTACTGCAGGGCCTGGAAATGGCCCTGCCAAGATGCTGCCACAGTCACTTGTCTATGAGACTTTTTGAATGTACAACATGTGGTAAGTACAATTCAAAACTGTTTAGCCCAGAGTGAAGAAAACATTGCACCTTGCACTGGAGCTGCCTGTTTACAAGCAGCAGCTGCAGCAAACAGCACAAAGTTGTCCTTCCTCGTGCCACAAAGATGCACAATATTCTCCATTTGCTGCCTGAAAAAAACAACTGCTGCTGCAGCTCAGGGACAGGGAGTGTGTGGCTGCAGAGAGCCACAGCCTGAAAGTGTCACAGGTTTGACATGTCTCTACAATCATTGCACTATTCAAAGCAAACACGTTTGGCAAGGCTGAACTAGCACGTTAAGATATTTTACCTACAGTGTAAAAAATACGTAACAATTGCCTCTGAGATTGCTTGTTTAACAATTACTGGTCCAAATAAATATGAACTATTTCAACTTGACAACTCAGGGTAGAATTTTTTTTTTTGTTGTTTAAAACCTCCAACAAGGATTCCCAAACATAAATGGGAACACTTTATCCAAATTTACTAAGTCCAGGTAAAATGGTTTTACTAAAAAACTATGAAAAAATCGGAATTAACTCGAGCACTAGGAAAAACATGGAAGCATAAAAGTGATCCTCACTACACAGCATAGTCAAAAATCTTCTGTGTCCCTCCCTTGTTGCACTAAATGCCTAAGAAAGCACTTTGGACTGAATTTTCCATTGTCCACTTCAAAACTACAGACCTTTAATTTGATAAGCAGCTTTGTTTCTATCAACTCATTTGTAAAAAACACCATCAAGCTTGTGCTCTTAAATATATATATATATATAAAAACATACAAAAAGTACAAGATAAATCACATTAAGAAACTTTTACAATGTAATTGTCCTGATTATTTTATTCTTAAGGGCCAAATTGCTTTCCTTTTTTTTTTTTTGTGCACAGAATCTCAATGTGACTGTTGTTCCAGAATTCAGCAGAGTGCCACTGCACAGAATTCACCTTTCTGTGCAGTCCATTAAAAAAAAATAACCAAAAAAAAAAACCCCAAAAGCAACACACACCACAGGACAAAACATTCTTCTTAAATCAAATTCTATTTGTGAATTCAGCAAAATAATTTCTATAAAATAAAACAGCAAAATATTTAAATAGTATAGGGTGGGCTGTATCTGTTTTGCAGGGGTATTTGGTTTTTAGACAGGTTCCAAAAAAAAAATTACACACATTCAAGTTACCAATTTTCATTTAAATACAGTATTTACTGATGCGTTTCTTTACGTCTTTAAACAAATGTTTATTCTGGAATAGAGATACCTCAGAATTGTATTTGACTAACCAGTAGTTTCTTTTATATTCAAACCCTGCTTCTAATGGTAAGATTTTTCTGTATAATGGAGAAAGAGCTAAGACAATTCTCGCTTTCAAGTAGAACTGTGAACGAGCAGAAAACCAGCAAGTTAACTTGGTGCAGTGGCACTCACAAGTACTCTGTGATTTTGTTGACTTCCACTTCACTGGGATGCAGTAGAAGGAAAGTGTTAGAAGTTTTATCTAATAAGCTCTACCAAAGAAACAAAACAAGCACACCAAATACAGTCTATTATGCTCCAGGCATCCTGGCATAGCAAATTTTTGCATATTTTGTTTTAAATCTTTTTAAACTCCTATTACTGAAAACTAAGTGTTCTTTATCCCACCCAGAGAACTGTCAAACATCGGATGTGAGGAACAGATGTGAAACTGGAAACCACTTGTTTGTCACATTTTCCCTCCCCACTTTATATAGTCTAGGTGTAAGAAGAAGAAGAAGTTCTGAGCGATGCAGTTGTCACATTGGGACAACTACGGTCACGTTTGTTTGTTTTGTTTTTTCCCCTCATTGGCTACACTAACTTGGTGTGAAGCCATGCTAAATGTTACAGCATAACTATAGCTTCAAAGTGATTAACCTAATACCAGAATGAAAAAGGCAATGAAAAAAGATCTAGAAACAATGTTACATCACCAATTTTCCACATCAACCAAATAATTAAAAGGTTACCAGCCATTACGTTGCTCATAGTAAAATCGACTCCAGTGGCAAAGAATTAACATGAAACTATTTTTGTGGTTGACATGGATAGGCTTTTTTGTAAAGGAGTTGATCCAACTGCCATGAGGCAGGCAACACTGGTTGCAGAGCGCAGCAGATATATCAAGAAATTATTTTTTTGTTTTTGTAGATCTGTGAGTCTCATCAAGACAAAAAAAAATGTTTCTTGCTCAAGAATTAACAGTCAAACATTAATATACTATATACACCTTTGCCATTTACACATTAGCATCAGGCCATTTATTACAAAACACTATACACTTTCCACTGCAGGCGGGTTATATATTGACAGCAATTTTCTGCAGATAAGACAGTGAATAGACTCTCCACTCCATGTTGATTAGGAATAGTTTTGTTTTTTTCTAGTTTTAAATATTAGCCAGACACAGAGAAAGGTTGGACTGTAAGGCCTGGGTGCACAGTCTTGATGGAGCAAGTTAATTGATTATGTGCATGTCACTAATCTTTTGTCTGAGGCGGGGAAACTTCTTCACTGCCTTCGTAGTTTTCTTGTGCTCGTTGGCCAGTTCTCTGAGGGTTGTTCATATGATGTGCTGCTGGGCCTGTATATGGCTGTCCATGCACGTGGTTATTCTGCAACAGAGCACAGACATTTCACAGGCACATTAAAGGAGCTGCTCCCTGACCAGTGACTTGTCCTCCCCTTTCCTTTTCCCAATCCCCAAGCACAGAGCATCTCTTGTGTAGCCACATCTGTACCAACACTAGTCCTGATTCACACCTGACACTCACCTTTGGGATTTACACAGAAGGTAAACAAACTTTCAACTTGTAAAGATAAAAGGATCAGTTGAAACAGTAAATCTCAGCTTTTGAATAACAAACAGTTACATGCAAAGCCAAAGCAGCAAGATAGAACAAAAAGGAGGAGAGGTTGCCCATGTGCTGCCACATGAACTGTGCACACATTTTACTGACAGATTCAACCAGCTTGGTTTCTCTCTCCTAAACAACAGGCCAAGCAGACCTGTATTTATGCAGCATACTCTGATTTTTAAGGGGGAAACTTCACTGTTACAGAGCTGAACGAAACCTAGACCAGTAGTTTGCTGCAGATGCTCTGCCCCAATTCAAAAAGTCTTACACACGTCTGGCAAACAAAACACCTCATTTGTCCACTGTTCTGCAGTTTGTGGAGACCCCAGGAAGGTGAGTGCTGTGTGTTAGTGAGAAATGCCATCTCTTGCAGGAAGGTGAACACATCACACAGAGACTGGTGAGGTTACAGTTTGTGGCTGAGCTCAGGGGCTCAGGAAGGAGTGGGGAAATCTGCATTGACTTACCAACTGCTCTGCTGAGAACACCAAGTAAGGAAAGCAAGATGGAGGGGAAAACGGATTTGGGCAGGAAAGGAAATCAAATTAGCAGATTTGGAATATATAAAATGAATTGGAACAAAAATGGCAACTGAGGGATCTACTCATTTAGTCAATTCAGTAAAAACCCTGGTTATGACTCCTTTCAGATCTGGCTTTCCTCTGGGAGATGCTAACGAAGCAGCCATTAACATAAAAACACGAGTTACATGTAACAAAACCATCTGATTTTTTTCTGAAAGCCTTCCAGTTATCCACACTGAAATTCAGGCCTTGAGGATTGATTTTGTATTTAAAAACCAGAAAGCAACTCACAAAATATTATCCATGTCAACAGATATGACAGAATCACATCCAGTATGCACCAGACTGATGACATCACTCCCTCTATTTCTGTGGATGATTAATCCCTGATCTGATCAAATTCTCACCTGAAGCTCTGATGGACAAACTGCTCCTGGCAAAATGGAGCTGTACATTTATCTTTATTCCTCCAAGTGTGGTATTTGACAATATTAGCTCCTGGCTAAATGCCTATAATTTAAGTTACCATAAATGCTAAAAAAAGCAAACCTAAATCTCTCAATAAATAGCTCAACTCAGAGCTTTTACCTGTTGGTACTGGGAACCAGGTGAATGGGGGTACAGTGGGGCATCTTCAGGTGGAGAAGACTCATGTTCATCTGGGGCATCAGGATCATCTGGTTCCTACAGTTTGAAACAACCCATTAAATCACTCAGGTAAAACATATTACAATTGTTCTGTCCAGAACATGTGCAAGTGATTGTTTCAGACATGCCTGGGAAAAAATCCCACCCCACTGTGTCACCCACAATTTGTACTGTACTGCATAAAAATTCCCACTATCAATGTATTACTGGAAATACAGACCCACTCATGATCTACTTTAAATGGTCAATTGCAATTCTCTAATTGCTAATTTCCTAAATGACAGATACCTAGAGAGACAGTAATAAAAGGTGAAAAATGCACAGAAGTAACTGAAGTCAACAAAACCACAAATCTATATTTATAAAACACTTATGAAATGTGTTACCTTAATGACCAGAGAATGGTGCTAAGGTTAATGATTTACAGAAGCACTTTACTCAATTTTTTTACTGGAAGTCAAATGAATTCCTTACCTCCTCTGGGCAGAGCTCACAAGCTTTTGCCAGAGTCATTCTAGCACTGTGTGACCTCTCTAGGAAGTAGCCATTTGATGTTTCATTGCTCTGTATTGGTGGAGACCAATTATTATAGGTGTATTGGGGATTGCCAGTGTATGGTCTACGCTCAAGTTCATCTCCAAGCCACTCTACTGCCCAGGTCCATTTTCTCTTCAAATCTCCATTGCTCTGCAGATGGAAAATGAACAATTAAGAATTAATTCTTTTATTCTTGAAAACAATTTTCCTTTCCTATACAACAGCTATCAGAGAAGAGACACCAACCCATCTGCTGCTGTTTACAAAAGTCCCCACACATCCTTTCTGCACAAAGAAAACTTCAAATTTGAGATGAAGTTTGTGGATTTGCAGCTGCATCACAGAACCATGAGTGTGACTTTAAACAAATGCCTTTCAATCCCATACACTGACCTTCTGATACAGGAAGGTTCAAATGAGTTGGAAGTTCTAATTTCATTGAGGTGATAAAAACTGAATAATGGTGAGGTTTGGTTTTGGGTGGATTTTTCTCACACAGAACTGAGTTAAAAAGGCAGCAAGAAACAGAATGAAAGGTGTCACCTGAAGGATTTGGTAAGCTACAGGACAGTTGCTGAAGAGAGCCACCATGCACTTTATACACTGGTAAGCTCTTTTCTGGTAATGATTCTTCGAGCGCTGAATGGTGTCAAAGAGTCCATCCCTGTCATCTGGGATTCCCTTCAGTGCATTGTGAATCCTACAAAAAACAAACCAAAACAACAACAAAACTTGAAGTGTTAAAGAGCTGTAGGACTGGAATTGTACTGGTATTAAGGCTCCACTTCCAAGGTACTTATGAAAGGGACAGCTTGTGTTCTGACTTCTGCTGTCAGTCCTCAGGTTCTTTAAAATCAGAAAAATAACTTGACACATCACATATATAACTTGCAATTTTAGCATGTTTGGTAACATTTAAACTCTCGGAGTGATGATATAGATAAAACAATGTAAGTATGATTAATTCTAGTCACAGTAAACAACTTTAACTACTGCATTTACAGAATAGCCCTGTTAACCCAGTAGGTCCTTATGGAACTGGGACAGTTAAATCCCCAAGAGGATGGTTACTCACACTGAGTTCTGCTTCTCACACACACTCTTTGAGGTGCAGCTCTTCTGAAGAGGAACAAATGGTACATATTTGTGCATGGGGATAAGGGGCTTGGGCATTTCCTGGAACTAAGCTCACTTTCTGTGCCTTCTGCTTGCAGACATGGGGTAGAGGAATTACTTGCCATCCTAAAACTGTGTTCAAACTGAGAATTGACATAGTTTTGAACATTCACACTTCATGCAGGTGTTGGTATCACTCCTGCAGCTGACACACCCAGGCTGGCACTGACCTTCCTGAAGGAGATGTTCCTAACAATTGATCTAAGCACCACAGGAAACATCAATGAGTTTAGTCTAAGCAGTATGTGAAAATTCTTGGCTTTACAGACCAAGTAGCAAATTTCTCAATAGTGAGGAAGGTCAAGGTGAAAAACTGTAGATTTAGCTCAAAGTTTGACATCAAACCAGGAAAAAATGGTTTATTCATGTATTTTGATTTAGTACCTATTTAAAACAAACCTCTGGAATGGATTAGCAAGAGAAGCACTGGAGAAAACAAGCTGTACAAAACAAGACAATTCTAAAGACAGGTAAATACTGACTGACCTGTGAGTTTGCCAAGAGTCCTCAATTAACAGGATTTGCAGAAGCAGATCCAAGTAAGGTCGAAGTTCGTATGTATATGAATATGCAACCTGAGAAAGCAAAATGCAGAGAACATAACATTGCTTGAAGCATCAGCTTACACAGCACAATATAAGAACATAATCCATATGAGGGTTGACTGGAATGTAAAGAATATTTCAAGATCCAATGCTTCCTTCCTAGAAAGTGACAGCAATTTTGGGTGTTGTGATTTAGTTTTTAAACATATTAGGTTATGTAAAGGCAAAATGTTTCCTCATGACTTTCTAAGACCACTGATGTGAAGTCCCAAGCATGAGATGCTGAGGAAGTTACCTTCAAAAATACCATTAGAAAAGCAAAATTACAAAATGGTATTTTTCACTGGTCTTGCTACTTTTAGACAATACCTTGAAAGGTTATCCTAAAATGTAAAATACATGGCTAACAAAGTAACAGTAAAGTGATTTTTATTATGATTCTTTCAAGTGCCAAACAAAGGGACATAGAAAAATGTGATGTTTACATGGAAAAAAATGGGTGAATATAAAGATGAGCTAACAAAAGTCAGGAATTTAGTTTGGAGTGGAAAACTGTGACTGGCCTTAAAAAGAAAGGAAACATAAGACAGTCACAAAGATTCTTTGCTGAGTCTGTTCTGCAGACTAGTAAAAACAAACCTTACAAACCTACTTGAAATAAATACATGGGAGATCTTAGGCAATCACTGGAACTTTCCAAGTGGATAATGACAGAAAAGCTTTAGGAGATGCTCTTGGAATACATCAGGATCACCTTCAGCAGCCCTGCAGTCTGCCTTCCACCCTTACCTCAGCATTCCTAGCTCACTAAAGGCTGATTGCTCTCCTGTACTCAAAAAGGGCCTCACAGTACTCCAACCCTGGGTACAGACCCAGGAGTGTCCAGACTGACAGGGGATATCATCTTAAGAGAAGTTTATTTATCAGGCACCTGCTCAGTATTTAATCCAACACTCTTACATATCATCACACACATTTATATTCTCATCTTTCTCCTAGCTTTTATCTTTACCTGCCAAAGTAGTTCACTGAGGACTGTGGAAGAGAACTGAGGATTCTCCCAACAGCAGAAACGAAGCAGCTTGATGGTCTCTTCAGAGTTGCTGCAGTCTTCAATGATTTTCTTCACATAACTAGTTCTCACAAACAGAATGTCTGCTACGTTCTGCTGAAGTGCCATGATGGGCTGGGATAAATTAGGATCACCGTAAGGGTTGGCAAGTGGGGGATTACCTAGAACAAACAGTTATTACACATTAGAAGGTACTGAAGCAGTTTCAGTGCAGACACTCCAAAACCTAAATTGGTGTAACTCATTAAAAAACAAAAAGGATGGAAGAAAACCACAACTGCTCCCTGACTTTCTTTGGAAAAAATATGGTATGAAATAACTCACTTTCACAACTGTGAAGCTTGACACTTGCTGCCTGAGAGAACTTCTCCCTCTCTGATAAGATTATACAGTGACAAAGCAGAACAGCTGGAGACATGTTCATATGCAAGAGGAGAAACCACTGAGTTTCCTCAGTGAAATCCTCTTATCTCCTGCATTTATCTCCTCCACTGCTCATGTAACAGAGCCCAAATCTATCACATTTTAAGGGCACAGTGTCTGTTTATTCCATGAGGCAGTGACAAAGCATTCAGAGGAATATCTCTGTCAGAACAGTCCCATCTTAATCTCTGGAGTGTGGAGAAGTAACATACTCTTGAAATAACAAAATGAATGTATCTTATTTAGTAAGCTTCATTTTGTGTAAGGAAAGGCTGTTGATTTGCTCCCGATGTTTCTAAATTTAGGAGTGTTTGGAGCTATTGCTTGAAGATGCCCACAAGTCCAAGGGAGAACTTTTCTAGCTTAAAACGCTGAAGCAAAAAATAACTTTATTCTGCAAATAGTAATCATAATTAGTAGTCAGAGTAATGTTCATACAAAGTAATTTTTTTAGTACAATATTATGAATTCAGTGAATTTACAATCATTTCTCACACATAGAGTATCTTTCCAGTGTAAGCCTCAAATAATGCACTGGAAACAAACCCAATCGAAATTGCCAAATGATTCTGAAGCTTATTATAGCACAGTAAAATTTTCAGTTCATTAATCTCACTGTGGCACATTTCAGCCTATTGACTTTACAGCCTGACACATCAAGCTGTAATGAGTTTGCCATTAAATAGCTTCTCTACAGATTTCTAATTAGGCTTTCTAAAATATGCTTAGCAGAATGTGTACATACACAGGCAATAAAGTCCACATGGTCCAATATTTTGTCACCATTTCTCAAAAATAACTGCACCCCACTCAGCTACTGGAGATATTAATGACTTATACTGTGGTTAATCAATTTCTAGCAGATTCTTTATCTTCTATAAATTGAAGTGCTGGCTTCTGTTTCTCTTCTTGACTGTGAACAAGCACCAAATCATATTCAAAGACTAACCACATCTCTTCACTGAGAAGCACTATTGCTACCTCAGAGCCTTCTGTGGTGCTCTTCCTCTACAGATGACTTTTGTAATCTATTTTTCTATTGCCTACCCAGAATAAAAATATCTATGCAACTCTTTACAATGGACTTAAAACTATTCAAAAACCACTACTATTTTGCAATCGACAACCTCTTACTTTGCCAATCAGTTCTTTTCCTGCATCTTAAAGGAATAAACCATAAAATACAGAACAGATTTCTGTCTTGGGCTTTTTCATGCAGTGAATCAGTTTTGCTGTCTTTAAACTAAAGGAGTTGCTAAACATAAAAGGAAAATATTTTTCCACAGCTAATACACTTGATAAATACTAGCTAAACCTGCACAAAAAGACATTTCCAGATAAGTCAATTGACCTAAGGGAACTGAACAGTCACTGTACCATTGATAGAGGATTGCATCCTGGAGGACACGTTGCAGCAGCGAATCAGCTGGGACACCACAGTGTAAAGCTTCCCCAGTTCAGCATACTGGTATTTAATTGGAGGACCTGGACCTTCATCCAGAGCCACAAGCATGAAGGTCGCAGGAACATTTAGTTTCAGAAGCTGTGTCTTCTCAGCTACACCTTTATGGGGAGGGGGGGAAAAAAAAAATCTTGTTTCTGGCATGACAATACTTTACTTTTTACAATTTCTTGAAAGAACCAGTGTTTACATGGCTTACAACTTTTCAGTTCTTGGGTTTTACTAAACCATCACTTATGCTTTCCAAAGAAATACTCCGATCAATAAAGATACACAAGAAAATTATGTTCAGCTAAAAAAAAAAAAATCACACCGAAGGAGAGTTGCAAATTCCTATAGTTTCTTCACAGTGCTCATTAGCACTTAAGCAACTACCATCTGTGTTAATAGCAAAGCCTCAGAGACAAGGAATTAATCTTTTTATTGAGGCCCAGGATAGGAAGAACAACCCCACTGTATATTCTGTTATTTTTCTATCATGTCCTGATACATCAACTAGGAAAGTCTGAAGTTTGTAACTGTGTCATACTATGGACTAAGTGTAAATAAGCAAATTCAGTGAGAAAACCTCAAAAACTAACCAACCAAAAAATCCAAACATACTACTTTCACTGCAAGAATACCTTGCACATACTATACAAGTACTTACCAGGAAATTCACTGTGTCCCTTATGATCTTGTACTCTGTTTCATATTTTGGCTAAAAGTCATGATTTTTCATACATTCCCAAGATTTTTTCTTGTTCTGGAATACAACTGGACCTTACCTTCCATCTTTCTGATAAGAAGGAAGAATCTAAGAGCTCTTCTATGGTATTTTTTATTATGTTAGATAGTTTTGTAGTTACATCCTTTGTAGGACTGATCTCTCACTTGCTTTGATGTGAACAACATATTACTTGATTTCTCAAAACATCAGACAACTTAATCTTTTTCACAGACCTTGGGGTGCTGCAGGAATGATGTTATTGTTGCTTTTCCTGAATGAACTCTACATTCATACAGAAGCTTTCAGGTAACAGCAGTAAGACAAGGACAACTGCTGAGGATTTCCAGGTTTATCTTTGCAGGGAAGACTGTGACAGTGATCAGACCCACAAATAAAATTATACTTTCCCTGGGTCTGAGCACTCTCCTGCTCAGAGGCCTCAGCTGCACTGGCTGGCTATGAAAAGCTAGTAGAGAGAAGAGAAGTCAGAGCAGAAGAACTGCATCTCACTTCTCTGGGATGATATTAGGTCCACTCTGGGGGTCATGGCAGAACCTGCCTGGCACGGAATGCTTCGGTAGCCAAAGTATATGAAAGCAACAGACATTGCAGGTGTAATTAAATTAACACAGCTGTTAATTTCACACATAGGAAATTAAACTCCTCTGAAACTGTCTACCCACTCGACAGAGCTTCCAGAACACTCTGTGTGTGTCAATTCTATGTGGGAACACTGAAATAACTCTAATTGGACTGACATACTTCAGACTTTAGCCAGAAAGCAATCCAACAGAAACTGACATTTAATTTCCTTCATGAGCTGATAAAACAGAAATGGTCAAGCATTTTAGAAAATTTCACCCCCTCCCTCTCTCAGAAAGACATAGTCTTGTAGCCCCAAGCTTCTCATATTTATCTTTCAAGGATGGCAGGAAGACTAAAGCCACAAACTCCAAACTGGAGGAACACAGATGCTACAGAGAGCATTTATATGAGATTAATGCTAACAATCTGCCCGAGGATAGAAACTGGATTCTCTTGCTGTCACCTCTGTAACTGGATCATGAATAATAAACCAGTTTGTTACAGCATCATCAGTGGAAGTGTGTGCACTGTACTTACCTAGGTTGGCATACATCACAAACAGGTTGAAATACTGCTGCAAGTGACGCCCGTGCTCAGATACTTCCCTTCTTAGAAGATTTAGTACTGCTCTCAGTAAGTGATCACTTAAACTTAAGTTATCATAAGCCTATAGAAAGAGAAAAGTTTTAAGATCAGTGGTTGAACTTACCTTATCTTTATTTAGTTTATACTTTCTACTATGACAGAAAATATAACTGGTTAAAAGGTCTGGGATTCATACAAGCTCCAAAATACTACCAGCTAGTTAATCTTCTGCATCTCACACTAAGGAAGACAGACAGAGGGAATGAGACTCCCATCACTAAATACCACTTATGTCCAAGAAATTGTGCAAGTAGAGAAGCTTTTAATAGAACTTTTCCTATAACACCAGATAGGCTTAAATATTCAAGAAAAACACGTGCAATTCCACTGTCAACTTCATAGAGTAAGGCAACCAAATCACCTCTACAGGTATGTCTCAAACACCTCTTAACACAATACACTACCAAAGCCTATGAAGCTTTTAACACAAATTCTTCTGCTGGACACAGTAGTGAAAACACTCTGAGAAGGCAAGTGGAACTATATAAATAAAAAGTGTCTTACTGTAGACATTAAAAACATGACAAAGCAAAGGCTCAAAAAGGTTTCTCTTTTAAATTTTAATACAGTCCAAGCAAAAAGATAGTTATGGCAAGTATTTTTAATTGTTTTTAATCAGTTCTACATGTATAAAATTTGGCAATCCAGCCTACTCCTATGCAAAGGCACAATTTTTGACAACTTCGCTGTTGCAGGATCCAGGGGATAAAACCCCAGGGAATTCCTGCAGGTTTTCACATTACAGTTTGTTTGTGGAGGGGCTTGTTTGCTAGCTTTAAAATTCTAAATGAGAAACAAGGGTTCACTTCCCTATCCATTACTTCAGTAAAAAAGCCACTACTACTACTTTGCAGATGTCACACTCAACTCAAAGTTCTCACTCCTGAAGTCTTCACAGAGATTTACCCACTGTGGGAAAGTGAACCTCTCTGACACCAACTCTCACACAAACTGGTGGAGTTACCTCATATTATATCGGGCAAAATGGCCTGTTCAGCTTTCCAGCCCACACTGGTGCACCTACTGCAGAATTCACTTTACATTAAACGCTTATAATGAAGAAGTAAGAAAAAGTTTCAAAAACTTTGTTAGAAAATTAGATACCTGACTGGAAGGTCCAGGAGAGGCAAAAGGTGATGGACATGGTCCGTCTTGCAATGAAAAATGTGCAATAAATACTATAAGTTTTGCAAATGCACCTCTCACTTCTGCACTAGGGCACTCCAGCAGGTACTCGGAGAAGCGATTCGACACGTTGAAGAGGACATTGTGTGCAAACCAAAAACGAACGTTCTTGCTGTGACGGAGGAGGATGCACAGTGCATCATACCTGGAACACAAAGTGACCAAATGCAGACATTAACCAGTTTTGGCAGATGTGTTCTTTGGCAGAATTTGAAGAGAACACATGTTAAAGGTGATTCCCAAATGCTTTTTGTTCACAAAATTTCTAGCGGTTCCTATTGCTCACACTCTGAGCAATGGCAAAATAAAGATATACTTCAACTAAAAACCCAACATTTAACTGTAGCATTTTACATTTATCACCTATAAGAACTAACACAGCATTACATCCCCAACTACTGCTCGAAGCAGCTCCTATTCCCTCTGTACTGTACTGGGGGTAGGGTGAGCAGCAGAGAACACGACATGGATTTCATGAGCTGTGTGTAAGACACGTAACTAAATATGTAAACCTAACAGGAAATTATATTCTCATTTACAGACCTTTAAAAACGAAACAAAACCACAATACCCAGAGAGTAAAAGATCTGTTACAGAGAAGGTCTTGGGTTACTCTGTTCTCCTTCCAGCAGCAATATTTGAACTGTTTTGGATCTCTTAAACTAACAGGAGTAACTTAGCTACTCTGAAAGTTGCTATTGGAAAAAAACTTGCCATGTAGCACACAATTACTTACTAGTAGCAGGTAAACTACTGGCCATCATGAATACTAGATTTTCTCTCTAGTTTGACCAGTTTGACCCACACTCCTCTCCCTAGCAGAGAGTAACCTAGCTGAAAGACTAAAATGCTGTGGTCCCAAAGCAATGTGCATAAAGCACTCTGCTAACAGGGTCTCAAAGACTATCCACATGTTTCACAAACAGAATACAAATCTAAGCTGCAACAAAGGGGGTCTTTAAAACTACTCAAACAATGAACAAACCATTCTGAGTTTGTCAGAAAACATAACCTACCAGTTTTGTGCTAGTGACAGATTCTATGCCCTTATAATTTTAAAGACAGACAAAAAGGTAGATTTGAGCTCTGTTTGAAAATGAATTTTGAAGCTGTTCAGGTCAGCAGCTTATTTTGAGGCTCAAATTCTTCCCAGTCTTTTCTGTTCAAATGTTATCCCGTTTTCACGTTCACCTTGACCACATATTTGGCAGACAGGGTAAAGGAGACAGACCACATACACCTTTCACTGTCATATGCCTATAAATGAGATCTTTGAACAGACATCAAACTTCCAAAATTGTAATTGTTGTTAAAAGACAAGATACCAATCACTAGCAGGGCCACGGACTATTTTCTTTGTATGAAATCCTGTGGTGAAGAGAAATCTAGCAGCAAGCTGAATACTAATCATAGTTATTTCTTCTGCTTCAGGCAACAGATGATCTTGTCCTAAAGAAAAATCAAAATACTCACATGTAGACAAAGTAAAAGCAACTTACTTTTAACAATTTAACTGATTCTGGATTACTATTTTGACATGGCATTCCAACTTTAATAAGAAACTTGACCAGAAGAGCCTCTAGGTTCAAATCCACCATTTGAAAATGTAAGCTTTAAGTCAAGGATCTGGAGGCTCATGGGTGAATTTTAGGAATTCAGTACCTCACCTTTGAGAACTGTTTTCAGTAGAACAGCTCTCAAACTTGACCATTTTAGCATGACTTAGCATGTAAGCTGAGCAACAGCTGATAGCTCATGGAAGCATTTATTGCTAAGTATTCTGGGCTGTTATCACTGATACACAATTCAACAGCAGATGTTTAACTGCAGAGGCCCAAAAAGAGTATTCAAAGCAGAATGCACAAATTTGTCACTGGCTAGACCAACTCTTGACCACGCAAATCAAAACTCTTCTTCCAAGAAATGAATCCATGATGACCACACTAACATACTCACCTGGAGGAGGATTTAGGTAGACACTATTACAAGTAAGCAATTTCTTGATGAACTGGAAATATTCCAAGCTGTACTGCATACGATTGTGCATGAACTGCACGTTCTGCTTCCGGACACTTCTCTCGATGGCCGACGGCATTTTAATCTGATGGGGCTTAGTGGTGATAGCCAGTTCTGTAATGTATTTCATTATCTCATTGTCTTTGTCTATTGTGTCCATACGTTCATAAAAAAGAATGTAAGCATTCCACCACCTCTTCTGGCGCCTGTAGGACATGCGCTTCATCATGTGATCAAACACTTCCCCCATGTACTCTCCACCAAAACACTGATTTTTCATTTCTTCATCGTCATCCATTTTACACTCTGTCACGTCTCCATCATCAAACTTATACCACCGATTCTTCTCCCCATCTCCCCCGTTCCTCTGGATAATGTAGGAGTAGTAATGTCCTCCGCTGGCCTGGCCACTGTGCACCAGCACACCCACCAGCCTGTACTTGGTGCTCCCAGAGTGTTCGTTTTCCGACTGTTCGTTCTGGATTATCTGGTTTTCCGGATTTACGTCATCCCCTTCCAACTTTGCCACGCCTGCCACTGTGTAAGGCTCCATGTCCAGTTCTCGTGGAAATTCAAAATAATCATTGAATTTGATTGCACATTCCCTTTCCCAGTCATAATCAAATCGCTTCAACTGGATTGCAAGAACTGGAGGCAACTTCTTAATCAGCAAGCGTTTCACTGTGTCCACCTAAAATGGTCACAGAATCATTGACATGAACAGTTAGCAGCTTTTAAGTTCCCATTCATATACTTTTACCAAAACCAAATTCAGTAATGAAAAGGATGACTTTTTTCCCCTGAACATGAACTGAGACTGAACCTAGCACAGCTATACCATCAAGCTGTACACAAACTAAACATGTGAGAACTGTTACCTTTTTGTTGCATTTTTCACAATGATATGCATTTGCACCTTCCAATAAATCTCCTTTGACATACTGTTCCAGAGAATCAAGAAGGTTTTGGTGATTTCTTATATCTACATTCAGAGTTGTGAAGGATTCCTCACATTCATACCTACCAGTGAACAGACAAATATATGAGAAAAGTAGAAATACATTCAACTTTTACATTTTAGATGTGCTACAGAGCATCTGACTGCAAAAGCTTTATTCAGCATTTGATATCAACTTCTGGCAAAAAGAGCTAAGCAGTAAAAAAAAGAACTCTTTTTTATTGCAGTCTTCCTACAATTACACTACAATATCTTCATGCTTTTTTTTATCTGAACTAACTATAGTTATTTTATGGAGACCATAACAATGACTTGTATGACTCGAGTTCACTGTCATGGAGTTCAAGAAGATGGAATTTGATTTTTTTAGCACATTATGTCTGTAAAGCAGCTGAAGTAGTGTGACAGACTCTTAGCTATCCAAGCTAGTAGGAAAGCACAGATAGCAAAGTGGAGCATGTTTTCCATTGCTGACCTTCATGGTCAGGAGTGAGACTGATAAACACAAATACTGTATCACACTTAACCACTCAAAACAGATGCCAATTAAGCAAACAAAGCAAAAGCCTTTTAATTTTCTATCTGAAAAAAACCCTGAATAGTTGTCTTCATGAAATTACTTTGCATATTAATGTCTGGCTTTGACTTACTGATTTCTAATATAACCTTCCAACACACTTCTAGCAATGAACCAGCAATGCTTGAGACACAACCAACTGACACAAAGTGGAAGCAATTTTTTGTTTGATATTCAAGAAGTGATGAATAAATTAAAAAGCTGCATCTGAAGCTGAAGGGTTTGTTTTTCTGATAAGCAATCAAGCATTCAAAGGCTGAATAAATAAATACTTAGACACGCTTCAACCAACAGTAATTCCATTCACCTATTAAATTCAGAAGGGCTGTTATTGTGTCATACCCAAATCCAGAGTGTAGTTATCATTGCTTTTCTCCTCAAACTACAATCAGGTTAACATTTGTATAAAAAGTACAATTAGGCAAGTCCAAGAGAGTTCCAAAAAGACAGACAACACTTCAGGATAGTACATAAAACCAGGAATGAATGGTAACTCATATTGCTTCACATCTGCTTCTTCCATTTAATTATCTATGGCATATTAAGTAAAAACAGCTTTCACTTTATCTTGCAGTATTTCAATTTACTTCTAGTTACACATTTTCACCCGTGGAACTTAAGATGTTCCACTTACAAAGTCTTCTAATTCACACATGAGCTCAGCTGAAGTTGAAAGATTACCACAATGAAATCCATTTATGTCAGTTTTTTTCCTGTATTTTAATTGCTAACTGAAGGCTAAAGCAAATGGTCAACTTCCACAATAAAGAGAACTTGCAGTGGTGATGTGCAGAGATCTGTACAGTTTGTGAATCACACATGATCTCAAAGCTGCAGTGAGCAGTACCAAGGCCAAGCCTTAGTGATATGAAATCTAACACAATAATAAAGACAACAACTGTCGAAAGAGAACAAGTTCATCATTAGCCCATCTTGAATCTTGCATGCAATTTAAATCACCCACCTCCAAAGGGATACAGAAGGAAAAGTCTGGGAACTACAACTTTACAATGCCTAGCTATTCCTTCGCAATCACCGTCACCAAGACAGTTTGCTACAGACTCTGATTTGGTACGAGTGTTTTTTCACATGCCCTATACAAAGCTCAATTTAGTATTAACATTTTAAGATAATTAAAAGTACAGCAGAAGCCTTCAGAGAAAGATGTATCTTCTACACAATTCTCCTCAATTACAGGTTGTACAGTGAGTATGGAAAGAGTTTTACTCATTGGAATTGAAGATTCATACTTGGGTCAGCTCTAAACACACACTGTGGAAGACAGAAGACATCAACAGCTGTTGACCAGGTCTTAAAATTTTCCACATTGCATTTGGTCCCTATATTGTTCTCACTTTTAACATGAAAAAGCTTCATCCTCTCCTGCCCTGATCAATACACAATGCTTCACCTACAATCAGCAGAGCAGAAGCAGCAATAATCAAGGAAGTACTTTAAGGCACCTGAAGACAAATTAATATTAAGGCTGTAGAAAAAAAATAGGGTAGCAAATTCTATTAGCCTTAAAAACACCCAAGCAAACCCTAAAACCATAGAAAAACCTCACTCCTGACCATAGTCACAACGACCCTAGCCAGTGGGATACAAACACGGGTTTATTCTCTGTAAAAAAAGAGAAAAAGTTAAGCACTCACCGATGTGGGCATCCTTGACAAATCTTCTGATCAGCAAAGGACCCTCCTAAAACTTTACTTAACATTGCTGGATGGCCCAAAGCTTTTAAAGCTTCATCTAAACTGTCCACCAAGGAATTAAAAAACTCTAAAGCATCGTGTTGTTCACGTAGATTTACAGGTTCACCCCAAAGTCTGAAAAATGAAAGCACATTCTTGTCAGATATTTCTGGTCTTGTTCTCCAACAGTTTCTTTTCTTAGAAAAAATAAATATTATTCAAGCTATTAATCCTTTCTTCTATAAGTGAAACTATTGATTTGAGATGTATTATACCACCTCTTCCTCTGTCCCTGACACTTACCTTCTGGTAAGTAAAAACAACCTTTTGTGTATAACTTCATACTTAATTCAAAGTCTCAACATCAAGGTCAAGAACTACTAGAACACAAAATAACCATCTTGCTGTAACCTTGGGTTTATTAACAGCCTTCTACAAAATGGTGAAAAGAGACAATAACAGAGGGAATGGTGCACAAGTTCTCCTAATTTACGCTTTACATCACCACCATTTCTTCTACTATGACCAGTTTTCTCCCATTTCAGTGAACAAACATCAATAGTAAATTTTCTATTTACCTAAATTGTTTCCAAAACCCTCTTGGTACATAGTACTGTAGCCTGGAAGCTGCTAAATGACCAAAAATTACTTGGAGATGCCTTAAAACTCCAATATTGTATTCTTTTCTATCTTCTGTTTTACTCAGTGTTGGTTTGTCTTCATACTGATGTGGATAACCAAACACATCATCCCGTGGGTCAACATTGCTCTGAAAAGCAGAAGAAAATTTGTGCAATTAATGCTGAGACGTAGCTGTCTCACAGCTAGCTGAACCTTGTTTAATTTAGCAATCTGAAGTATTTCATACTCTCAACTGAAGAAACAAATATTGTCTTTGTATGCATTAACAGAGTTCTGAGGGCAGAAATAAGACACGTTGCTTTCCAGCACAAATCCATGAGGAGAAAAGTCTGCAAACCTTGCTGCTTGGATCTTCTGAACTGCCTCTCTGGCAGAGAGACTCTGCAAGTAACAAATATTATCCCATTCTACCCACTGCTAACAGTGGAAAGCAAAGTGATTTATCAACAATGTAAATAATCATGTAAATAATTATTAAAAAAGAACGACAATTTAAAGATAAGTCAATTCTATGTGATTAAGCTTACCTCATTGTCCTGCTTTTCATCCCCAGACATGTCATCATCTACATCACTGCCTGTGCCTTCAATTGCAAGAATCCCATTCCTGATGGCTGGAATCATGTACAGCTGCTGAATGACAGAATTCATGTAACAAGTGGCACCAGCATTTTTCAGCCCTACAAATCCCTTTGGCGGTCGAGGCCCAACAGGTGGTAGATATTCCCACTCTGTAAGTGCTTCACAAGCTGAAAGGAAACAGCAGAATGTGATCAGGGAGCTATTTTGTTCATAAATAAACACAACATCAATGCTGCACAGAGGGCAGTTGCATAAAATTAGTGTCAGTCTGCAGTTTAAGATAAGTTTCACCAGAAAACTGAATTGCTAAAGTTAACACAACTCCTACGAACAACAGTTCTATCTGTAATCTTAACATCACATTTTCTTCTACAGCATAACTACAAACGTGGCCAGACAAAAATTCAGTCTATTTATGTATGAAACAGAAATTTTTCCTCAGTACCAGCAAGTTTCTTAGCTAAGGAATTCAGTCAAATGAATCTAGAACATATAACCAATTTATAAGCCTTTCAAAAATTTATAATGCTTTTAAAATTACAGTACTTCACTTAGGCCTCACTTTTCCCTGCCAGGATGGGAAACAGTTTCAGGAAATGCTCTCTCTATGACTTGTAATACTTTTTTTTTTCCCTCCTGAATCTTCTCCCTCAGATCTCTCACACCTCTTCAGAGTACATTTACAACCACAGATTTCCTGTGCAAAGCTGTTGTTCTGTAGTTTAACACAAAATACTCTGATGTAAAAGAGCATGCATGTTTACAAGCAAACTTGGTATATGAATCACAGAGCATGCACAGTTCACACGTGTTCTCTCTCCTGTCTGACATACCACAGAGATCTGGTGTTCTACTGTGTTCAGATACTTGAGTGGAAGGAAATGACATGAAATCCTTCTAACTGTGAGATGGTAAGAAATACACTACTTCCCAATAGGAAAGGGTGAAGAAAACAGGATGAAGCAGGGGGGAAACCATAAAGCTTCCCTTTTAATTTATTTGAGATGGACCTAAACAGGAAGAGACTGAAAAACCTCAAATGACTCACTGATTGTACCATCTGAGCAAGCAGCACTGTCAGAGGCAGTGGACAATTCCCACTTTGCCATACTATTTTTAATAGCTTATAGTTTTGCTAAACTCTTGTTAAATCACACAAGAATCTGAGCTGAAGGGACCATTAAAGATCTTCTAGTCCAAACCCTGCCAGGGGCAGGGACACCTTCCACCACACCAGGCAGCTCAGGGCCCCATCCAACCTGGCCCTGGACACTTCCCAGGATGGGGGGGCAGCCAAAGCTTCTCCAGGCAATCTGTTCCCATGTCTCAGCACTCTCATAGTGAAGAATTTCTTCCTTGTCTCCAATCTAAATCTACTCTCTTTCAGTTTAGAATCATTGCCCTTTGTCCTGTAACAACAGGCCCTGGTAGAAAAGTCTCTCTCCATCTTTCTTATGAGCCCCTTTAAATGATGAACATCATGATAAGGTCCCTCTGGGGCCTTCTCCTCTCCAGGCTGACCAACCCCAACACTCCCAACCTCTGAGCTTGGGTTTGCTTGGTTTGATGGTGTTTGGGGTATTTTTGTTTGCTATTGTTTATCTTTTTTTTCATTTCCCTGTTAATATTATAGCAAAATGGCTTAGCTATCCCATTTTGGGCTAGAGAAAATATGTTCCTATTTGTTAATTTTTAAGACAGTCTTACAAGATTTTTACTGACAACAGGATCTCTGTTAAGTACAGGCCTTTTGCCATCATTGTGAAAATTAGCTCAAGTTTCACTAGACTACGGGCTCTTAAAAACACTTACACTGGCAAGTTTTCATAATCTTTCTCCAGTGAGGAGAAAGTTCTTTAGGTGCAGTTGTGCCAAGGCCAAAACTGAGGGAACAAATGCTTGAGAAAGGACTATGACAAGCAGAGAATGAGTCTGGAACTAAAAAGAGGAAAAGGACAGTGGACCTGTGTCTGTGTGTGGACAACGATGACAAATTAGGTGAGCAACCAAGAGACTGGCACTGAAACTAAACTGGAGATACCTGATGAGGTTCTGGGATTGGTTAGGCAGAGCCTGAAACGATGAGACAGAAGTAGAAGATACAGACAGAATGAGTTTCCTGGGAGCTGGTATGGACAAAGTCAGAGATTGGGACAGGAAGGGTCAGACTGTGGAAGTGACTGGGGCTGGAGTGTGGATGCAACCACACAATGCAAGTCAGTATATTTACTGCATAAAGGAGAACAAACACAGGCTACACTGGCAAACTTTTCTAGATCTTGACAGCCTGATTTTGCAATATTAGAAGCAGTCACAAACCAACCACAAACTAAACAACCCAGCACCTGCTTCAGTGGATAATATAAGCAAAACATGGCATATATATAAAAAATAGAAAATAGAGAATGAAAAGTATTACATACTAGTGATTGCTGTACCTATGTAATACATTTCAGTCAACGTGTCTACAATCTGTTTGAGATTTCGCACACATCCAACTGCTAGTGCAACTAGTAGCTCAAAGCCAGCATTAATAGTAGCTGGTGAACTACAGACTGGTATGGCCTGCTCAGCAGGCAATTCTCCATTCCTCATGTATTGTAGATAAACATTGGATGCTGGAAAGATGAAATCATCTATCAACTCCTGAAAAGAAAAGAGAACACATCACCTGTTACCATAGAAATGCACACTGTTTCATAACAGAGTAAGAGTTATTACGTAAATGAATGTCTGAGAACCAGAGTGGTACTTCAACTCAAGAGTTAAAATTGAGACTGATGCCATAATGAACTTATAAATTCAGAACAGAATAACTCCATTCTGAAGTGGTTCCCTGCAAACCCACCTCCCCACTGCAAGTCAGAAATAAATCTGGACTATTCCTGATCAGTAAACATTTTCTTTTGCCAAACCCTTGTAATCTACAAAGCTCTGCATCATTTAGTGCTAAAAAACTAATGTTCCTGCTGTAAAAAGATCACATGTCTGATTCAGGAGATGCTCAGATTTGATGCATTTGTTCAAATCTGCCATAAGCATTAATAGCACTAACTAAGAACATGTGGAGAAAAGGCAATACAGGGCAGTGAAATCAAGCAGTTCTGTACAGGACTATCCTGTATCCAGCTCACTATCCTTGTGGGATTTTGTTAAGTACTGGAGTACAGTTCAGGAGGCCACAGCAACTCCATATGCAGTGGTTCTGAAGAATGAGAATGTTAACTACTTCCATGATTGAAACATGTAATATTTTTAAAAACTTATTTTTAAAGAAAACATTAGACTCCAATTAGAAGCCCTTTTATGGATCCAGACCACAAGATGCAAAGCTTACTTTTATCTATTTATAGTAAAAAAACAACCAACAAAAAACCCAACCAAACACACACACCTCCAAAAAACCCTCCCAAAGACAAAAAACCCTCCACAGCTCAAGAAACTTGAACTCACTTTAATGAGATTAGCACCTCCTTTTTCACAACCAATATGGTATTTCTTCTCAGGTGTCTGGAATGCTAACAACTCTTTTGTTACTCCAAGGTGACCCTCTAAGATCGTTTCTTCCACACCTGTTTCCCCTGTTCTTTTCACTTCATCCTGTCATTTAAGAGAAAGTTAGGATACTCCAAGTATCATCCATTTACCAAGCTTAAAATTGCACTTCACAACAAAGCAGCAGGAAGGTAATTATCAGGAACAAATGGATCCCAAAACTTACCCTAATCCTCTTAAGCCAATCAATTTCATTATTGAGAAGAACTTCAGCGTTGGGTACATTAATATTACTGTTGTAAGCATAGTTAAGAAGATGTCTTAAGAGAGTGAAGTAGTCTCCAGAATGCTTAGCTCTCTCTCTTGCCGTACTCTGTGTAAACCCAAAACAAATGATGGAGAGTTCATACACACTTCTACTTACAGGGCAAGACCAATGTATTTTCCCTAAACCTGACAGTAAACACGAAAGTGTAAGGTAATATTTTAGAAGTTTATAACAGTATTTAGCTGTTAACGAATGACTTCTCAGCTGTTTTAGTAGCAATTTCTATACCTGAATGGGGGGAAAAAGCCCAGGAGAGCCACAGGCATGAGGAACTGAAAAGCCCTGGCAGGACCAGTAAGAGAAGGCACTAACTGTAGATATATCTCTAATCTGCTAATGATTTTTCTTGAAGATTAGCATTTAGTGAAGATCAAATGCATATATTAAAGCTTACTGTTCATGTTCTTATCTATCAGAAAGCACAAAAAAAGTCCCTTTTCCCTCATCTAGCTCAAATGGAAGTCAACTCCAGGCTGCTTGCCTGAAGGGCAAACAGAATCTTATTTTAGTGACAGTTGTTAACAGCAATTGGTCTTTTCTTGCAGACACCTTTTTACAGAAATTCACATTGCACTGAAGCCTTTACCTCTAGAAACTTACCCCTAGAACAGTAAACAGGAGGGTGATGAAGAAAAGGAGAGGTCTCTGTCCCATGCAACACCTGGTAGCCATTAGGAAGAATTGCTCCTGTGCCATCTGACGAACAGTTCTGGAAATCATTCAACAGAAACATTAAACTCAACTTCTCCATCCAAAGAGGACATTAAAAGAAGCTAAATTTGTGCTTATCTGCTTAATGCCATTTTTTAAAACTGAGCACAATGTAAGAAACAGGATTATTTTAATTACTCACTATCCATCCTATTTGTTCTCCCTGCAGCAAAATTTCAACACATAAATTACTATCACAAAACTTGTTCCACAATTCAAGTATTTAAAGGGAAAAGAAACTTATAAGCACCTACCCACTGCACCTTTGCAACTGAGAGCAAATATTGCACAACACAAGAAGCAATTTGCAATCCTAAATAATTTATTTCTAATTCACCACCAGTGGTACCTGATAGACAAACTGGAACTGCCCTAATAAAACTGCTCTTATGTATCACTACAGCAGTTTGCTGAGCATCTATGAGGGAATCAAAATTTATCATCAGTAAGAAGTGAGAAAGTGACTATAATTAAAGGAAATTTTCCATCTCAGAACTTAATCTAATCACTGGAGTAACATGGGAACGGATGAGCTTAAGGGAAAAATATATTTAAAGCAAATCCTGTTCTTTCAAGTTATAAAATTAATTGTCTGAGCACTGCAACTTGCTCAGACAACTCTGCTTGTGTGGGAAGAGACTATGAATGAATGTTGTGCTTTAAGAAAGTCTCTCAACATTTAAGAAACTGAACTTTGCAGTGTCTGCTTGGTGTGTCTTTGTCTTCTGCCCATGAGGTCAGTGTGGAAAGCTCACCAAAGAACCCCATTCCTCTCAGAGTTCTTTCATGTGTGGTTAACTGTGTTTCAAAGCTACACAAGAATGACCTCGAGGTCAGAGCAAAGATGCACTGGCTGAGCACCCTGTCCCTGGTACACACAAAGGAAAGTGCACAGAAGGAGGAAGCATGCAGAGACACTTCTCCAGAATGTTCGCTCAGCTTCTAACGATTTGTGGCTCAGGAAGAGGACCAAAAGCAGTATTTCATAGCCCTCACTGGACAAGTTCATGAAAGAACCCCTGAAACCATTTGCAAACTGAAGGTTTACACTGGTAAATGTTATGCTCAAGAAGGTCTTATACAAAGAAACACTGTTCTCTATTTGTTCTCCCTTTGCTACTTCTGATTTTAAGGGTCTCTGTGGTGTTCTCCTCCCACCATTTATCTCTTCTCCAATATGAAGTGCCCCGAGCTATTCAGCTGTTCCTCAGATGGAAGTAATTTCAGAGCTTCTGTGATCCCTACAAGTTCTACTCTACTGCTCTGAGCTGCAGAAGACCATGGGGTGGAGATGGTTGTTTTGTTCTTCACAGTAACAGACATTTTATGGGATCTGATTGCTGAGCTGACTTTTTCATAAAACTTCTCACAGAAATTTCTTTTAAGATGCAATCCTCCAACTGCTTGGGACACATCACACAGACAGTCCTCAGGTCCATGCACTTAAAGGCAGAATGAAACAGACAAAGGTGATATCTTCCTGAAGTAAAAAACGTGACCAAGCAAACACACACCTCACACTTATGTTCCTGGGGAATATGCAGGATTTGTATTTTTGTGAAGCTGTAACAATCTAAGAGCTCTTAAGGAAGCATGAGAGGGATGCAGAGGGGACAAAAACTACATGATGAATGTACTTGTGACATCTGAACTTGACCATCTTCCTTGTCTTTTATGGTGCACCAAAAACATTTTCTCACAGCATGTTTTGGATCACATTGCTCTCTGATCGAGCACAGAACAACGGCTGAAAATGGAAGGATATTCAGAACTCTGCTATTTGCTAAACTTTCTCTGCATTGCAAACACTAATTTGTTTCCACATTAATTCAGAAATGGAACTTGGCGTTTGTTTTTTAGCTTAGTTCAACATCTCCACTCACAAAGCAGTCTTCTGTTTCTACTCATGCTTTTACTGTTCTGTCATGTAATAATGAACAGCTCCATCATTCTAAGTGAGATTACCAGATTTACCATGAGATCCCTATTTGAACCATATTTCCTTAATGAAATATGACCACTTGAAAAGTGTCACTTAAATTCCAAATACAATGCCAGAAAGTTGGATAACGACAGCGACATCTAGTATAAAAATTATTACCCATTACGTGCATTTTTACAATTAAGATTTGTGGAAAAGCCAGAAATCTGCTAAATCTTCAGAGCCACTTAGAAAGAATCTAAGCATGGGGCAACACTGACACTTGCCCATGCTATTCAGTTCCACTTGTACTCCAAATTTGACATGAGGTCAACATACACTTCCTGTGAAAACAGTAACTTGATATCAACTGTTAAGTTTTAACAATAAAATTTAGGGACTTCTTACTTATCAGTCTTGAAAGTTACCAGACCCAGTGAAAGACAGCTTGTTCCATTTTATGTGCAAAACCACAACATACATTTGTCAGCATGTTTTGTTAAACTTCTCCAACCTAAGTGGTGATAACAAACTTCAGTGAAACTAAAAGTTTAACATCCTATACCACAGGCTGCAAACTTACACAGCTTGTGGTATTCTGGTGACATGCCACAGTTTCACCAATGTGTGCAAAGAGTTCACTGTGAAGAGATACTCTGATGATAGTAGTGATACTTCTGTTATGGGGAATATTCCTGAATGTAAGATTTTTCAACCTGTTTATCTAGAAAAGTAAAAACCCTAAGAAATTCTGACTCAATTCCTTGGAGAACACCACAATCTGACTCCCTTTAAAGCATACTGAAAGGCTTAAGACAACACCACTAATTCCTGATCTCTGTTATTTCTTGAAGAAAAGTTAAAATATTAATGAAACAACAAGACGGTATCTTAAAAAAACTAAAATAAACCCTTTAGAAACAGTTCAAAGCACTGGCAACTAAGCTTAGTAACAAGATACAAAAGCTTTCCACCTGGATGGCTTCTGAAAACAACCTCCCCTAGTACTTCACAATTTCAGATGGGCTGAATGGCACAACACACACACTATTGGGAAATGCTGTCCAAAGAGATCTCTAAGAACCCCTTGGAGATAATGAGAGACCCCTGAACTCTATGGCAGGACTGTAGGGAACTGAACTACCTCCCTCTAGGCAGCTCCTCCTGATTTTCACTATCTGATCCCTGACAGTGCTAAGGGTTCCTCTAAGATGCTGCTACTGCACCAGGTGACAGCTCTGTGTGTAATGTGTGAGTCACATGGGGAGCTGCAACTGTACCACTCCAGTGCATAAAACCCAGAGGATTCAGTCTTAACCTGCACCTCTCCTGAAACTGCTACTACTCTGGCTTGTCTCTACTTACCAGAAAAAGTATAGGTAAGTTCTTGACCTTAGTCACTTAAATATTCTAATGCAGCATGTGAAGTATGTATGACAGTAAATAATTTGTACTAAGGTCATCAGTAGCACATTACCAAACAGTATCTTCCTTATGAGTACAAAGAAGATGGAACCCCTACAGCTATCTTTTTAGAACAGATACCCAAAGCATATTGATGTTGCTATAACTATGACAACTGCAGAGAAAAGTCACTTAAATACGAAGTCACTACTCTGCATTTAGGCTTTATGTTCATTCTAAATTGTGAAACAGCAGATGTGATTTAAAGAAAAACACCACCCAAACTTACTTGCTGTGACAGTGCAATAGCAAATCAATGATAAATGTCTGCCAGGCCTTTTCTTTACTGAGTGCATCCAGTGCCGTTGGAATCAAAGCAAAGCACAGGGTCATCACCTCCAATGCTTCACAGCAAACTTGTTCATCTTCTACGTCTGGTTCATTTCCTGCATTTGTCTGTCAAAACAAACAAGAGTGAACAAAGTGGGTATAGAAAAACATCCCGAGAAACCCAACTGGCTCCAAGGTATATGCACTAAATACAAACACAAACCACAGATTTGTATATTAAGTGATTATCAGTGCCAAGTGTTTCATGCACTGCACTCAGACCTGAGTCAACGCACTATGTGGGATGGCTTGAACTTCCAGCACTGTGCTTCTCAAAGGAGGATTCCAAGCATGAACTTAAGGAGTCACAAGTTAAATAGAAAGCTTGTAGGCAAAAGTCGCATCAGTTAGTAGTTTTTTTGTGGGTTTGTATCTGGTGTTTTGTTTGTTTGGGGTTTTTTAACGTAAGTTTTTCCTTACTACTCAGAACATGGAGTATAAAGCTTAAACACAAAGGCTGTAGTGCTGTACAATCCATCACTAAGGCTTTGACACTCACAAAATTTCTTCAGCATTTTGCTGTTTTTCAGAAACATGACAGAACTGAACCAAATTTCAAAGATAGCTGCTGTGACTTTTGAAGCAGAAAATACTCCTATATAGGTTATTCCCTCAATTAAACACTTGAATCAAACAAGTTATCTTGGTACATTCTTCCAAAATAAGTACTGTGAGAATAATGGCAAGCCCTCTCCTCTATCTAAGCTAAAATTAATTAGCTTTAAGTTCTGAAGAAACTTCTTACCTGTAAACAAACAGTCATATAGGAAAGCAGTTGCTTAGGAATACTTACCTTTTCATAGATTTTACTGATTTCCTCATTTGAGCTGAAAACCAGCTGAACTGACCCACAACCTGATGCCCAAACGATTTTTTGTACTGCCCTGATAACACAGATATCAGGGATGTATTTTGAAGCCTGTAAAAAAAAAAAGAGAAACAAACCAAAGCGACATTAAAATGAAGTTTCAAATAACATCACAATGGATTCCAAATTATCACAAAGTCATTTTATAGAAAATTTAAGATTTAAAATTTTATAATGTAACAAAGACTTTTCCCTTAAATGGAACAGAGATGGTGTACCTTGAATGGTGTTTGTACTTCACTTATGGAATATTTCATTTTTTAATAGAAAGTAGGATGCATATTAGAGATATCACAGAATCTTAAATCATAGGTATGATTACCTATAGGTGCCAGGAATGACAAGAAAGTGAACTGCTGAACTTATTTTAGGGTTTGTCCCCATCATGGTATTTGTTGTGCTTTTCTCTGGCCTATGGAAACCATGCCAGATTTATTCCCTTGAAAAGCCTTTGACCATCAAAACATGAAAAGGAAAACCAAAGGCCCTTCATAGGCAAACTACAACACACTTGAAAATTAAATCTACAGCAATTTTCATGATTTCAGAAAATTAGACTCTTAGTACTGCAACACTGTCAAAGAAATTCGGGTTTTGTTTGCTTTGATATGCTAGGTTAAAAAAAATAATCGAATTATTTATTTATTAGCAGTCCTCCAAGAAAGGTTTTTTAATTGTGCCTTTGTCTTTCTTCATACCTCACCTCAAGAGACGTTTCTGCTAGGGAAGAAATTTAAATAAATCAGAGTGCAACTGGCTGATTTTAGTCCACAATCCAACTTTTCACTTGCATCTTAAATGCATTTTCAATATATACACATACAATGGCAACGATTTGAGACTTTTATCTTTCATCATTTAAAAATTATGCTCAAAATTTTAAACCTCCCTCCTCTTTCCTGCACTTCTCTTCAGGAAGAAAATGTTACTCAGAAAGCGAAACACAAAGGACCAAAAAAAGAAGAAAGTATCACAAAAATGTTTTCAAAATAACCATTAATTTCTTTAAATCTGTTTCATCCATTTTCCAAATGTATTTTTGTTCATTGTAAAATGTTCATTTTCTGGTCTCAGTGTAACAATATTCACAATCCATTAAGGAGCTTGTGCAGAACCTGCCTCTTTACTTCAGCCTCTTTATGCTATTAGACACTGAATTTCATAATGCATATGGAAACAACTAATGAAATACTTTTAACTAACAGCTTATGAATCATATGAAGATTAACAAAAATGTTTCATGACATTTTAGAAAGAAAACCCACGTCTTACAACACAGTAAGTCTAAGGATTTAAAAAAAAAAAAAAAGAGACAAGATGTCATAGGAATAAAGGTGACACAGAAAGGAATTCACCAACCTCATCAGATATTTGCTGTGCAAGACGTATTGCTACATTTCTCAGCATGCACTCTGAAGTTGGATTGGGAATGTTTTGTAGGGCATTTTGTAGCACCACTGCCTGGTCATGTGTAGCCTGGTTTATCTGGAAGAAAGTAATTCTTACACTTACTTTCACATGGAAAGAAAAAAAAACCAAATCAAAGCAACATGATACAAAGACCTAAAGTTACTTGGAAAGGTTTGGTAGAAGTAGGTAAGTTCTTGGAAAGAAAGTTACTTAGAGAATTTGCAAACCAGAGAAATAAGCCTCCTCATTTTCAAACAGATCCCATCACATCTGAAGACACTGTGTGCTGCAGTTTATGACCAGAGAGTACAAGTAGTTAAGAGGAGATGCACTTGCTCAAAACTTACTAAGTTTGGGGGCCTGATAATTCATCAGATTAGGTGAAGTTAACAGAATGTTTACAGTTGCAATGCCTCCTTTTCCACTTTTCCCTTTCCAACTCTGAGAAATCTTAGGGCAGGTCACCTTTCAACCATCAACACTTAACTCTGCAATGCACCTAATTGTGCTTTGCAAGAATTTTCACAGACAATGGACAGAGCTATGAATCTAGCAAGACAAGGACTCATTTTTGTGCAGGCAAAGGGTTGGCAAGTCTCAACATCAGTTCTGTTGGGTTTTGCTCTAATCAGAAGACACAAGAAATGCAGAGGAAATCTTTCAACAGACTCAACAGCTCAAAGAACCAGAATCCTTCTTGAGAATTTATGGGATAGATAAACTAGAAATGATGTTACCTGCACTGACAATTACACAAACCACTGAAAATCATATACAGAGCAAGTGCATCTCACACCTAACTTTTTATAATCAGAAAGAAATAGGATTTGTTTAGTAAGAGGGTATCTTTCTAGAATCTGAAGACAACATCATCTGAAAGCACTGTACGTTCTTGACAGGTAACTCAGTGAAGGAGGAGCATAGAGAGATGTTGCTGCAGACAAGATAAAAACACCAGGAAACATTTATTTTACCGGTGAAATTGTACTTGTGCCTTCCACCACTGGCTGACAAGCTTCTGCCACAGCTCGAACATGGCCATATCCAATTGCTGTTAGCAATAATTTGGCTATTTTCAGAGCGTTAAGGTAGGCACCCCTTCGAGTCTCCATGTCTGCGTTTGGCAGGAAGTTATTTCTGGTCAGCATGCTCAGTACAAGAGGCAAACCACCACTTTTTAAGAAGTTGTATTGGAAGTCACTAGCATCTTCTCCCAGAGGTGCACTGGCAGGCATTAACAAGGCATAAACTACCTGTAGAACAAAATACAAAGTTAACTAAGAAATGCACCAGCTTGGATACAGGTGACTGAACATGAGAATATGCAGGAATACTAGTTAAGCAATGCTTTGACAGCATTGGCCACACACCAGTTTATTCCAGCAAACTGTTAAGCATTTTCCACTGGTAATTTCAAATCAGAATTTGATCTTAGGCTTTTATAATGTTACAGAGAGGACTGCCAGAAGGAGAGTTGGAAGATTTTCTAAGAACAGGCAAAATATCACAAACCTCTGTTAGGTACAGCACTTGTGAGGCAGAAGGACCAAAGAACAGAGAATCGAGGGATGGACTAAGGCTGCTTTCCCCAAGCTTTGCATGATCTAAACAAATAGCTCTTAGTTTCTCGACCGTAGTGTTATCTGCAATAAAAACACAATTTGTAAGTGTTTTCTAACAAAACAGGCCAGTACTATTTACAATTATAAACCTGAAAAATTCTAAGTGTATCAGAACAGCTGCAAAAAGTGACAGACAAGACCAGATGATGGAGAGTTCCACCATGATTAGTTCTGTCAAAAGGAATCCTGTTAATGCACTGCTGCAAAATCACTTCAAAACACAGTGTTTCTCCCCATTTTCACTGCACTGTGGCACTGAACACCAGTACCAACTGCAAACTGTGCAACTTCATAAAACAGACAAGAAATAACTATTTGGGAAATCAGAGTCCTAATTAGGGTAACAGTCACAAATTACAGTATCAATAAATTCCCACAAAGTAGAAAAGAGTCCCCAGCTCTTTAGTTTTACATTACAGGTGAGAAATTATGATACAGGATATCAGAGGATTAAAAAAAAAAAAGGGATGAAATTAAGTTTTACCTGGTGGCATGAGCTTCATAAGAACACGAGCTCCATCTCTGAGAGGCGGCATGTTTAGGCTACTGCCCAAATCTGCAACTTGCCAAAGAAAAGAGATGTATCGAGGATGCAGTGACATGATCTTAAAAAAAGCAAATTAACAAAACAACATTAAAACTGTTAGAAAAAGACATGGTATAGCAAAAAGGGCATTTAAATTGCTAATTTCAGAAGATCTTACCACTCCAGGCAAACAGCTTTCAACTTCTGGATTTGGACCATCGCTGTAGTGGTTGCCATGGTTGCCAGGAGAGCCAGTTGAAGAGTCAGAAGAACTATCTGGACTCGAGGGCATATTAGAATTTATCTGTGTAAGCTTAGCTGTAATTAGCTGAAAAACACAATCAATAGTTTTAATACTACGTAGAAATGAAGATTCTTTACAGAGTAAGTATCTGATATAATGTTAATGGCCTAATACAAGGAGGAATGGAATTAGTTCAGAAAAATAAGTGCCCCCATGCATGGATTTTTCAAGCATTTACAACGGGAAGCGACATCTGATCTGACATAAATGATCAGCCTGCAATGCTTACCGTTTTATCTTTGAGATTCAGCTGCCCAATTAATTTTCTATCATCTGCAGGGTCTACCAGCTCACCACCAATGAACAACTCTACTTTTGTGTGTGCACTGTTGGCTTTAATCCGATTGAGAATACATCGTCGCACTTGGCCAATTGTGTCATTTGTGTGAGACCAAATATCCAAATCTTCCACCTGTCGCCCTTGGTTGGGAAAACGAACTACTAGTGTGATATGTTTACCACGGAAAGCTCTGAAAAGAAACAAACCACGAAGTTATTTCTGCCCTCATGAAATAAGTAAAAATAAAATAAAAAAAAGTGCTGCAGATATTACAACATCAAGTCCAGCATGAGACTTTCTGACGGCCACAACTGTGCTAACAATATACACAGAATCCTTCAAGGAGCTGCACTCCATGAAGTGCATTAAACATGTGGTCAAACTTACACTCAGGTTCAGAACAAGGACAGAAATTTTACAAGACTCTTTATGAAGGTTTAGATCTTTTCTCTGTAACTTCCTGATCAAAACGTGCAAACAAAGCTCAGACTGGCAACTACATTTTGCTGTTTGAGCAAAGCAACTCAGCTTTACGTACACCAAGATCAGAAAAAGCCATCAGGTCACCAAATCTCAATGCCTTCTGTCAAAAGCTGCTACAAGTTTTATATTACAATTCCAAAAGTCACAATCCTTTAAAAAAATTTCAAAAGGGCAAAAAAAAAGAGGAAACAGTTTCACATTAGCAGTGATCACACTCCCCACAATGGCAGGAAGCTCATTAGGAGAGATGTGCCCAGATAAGCCCAACAAACTAATCCCAAGCAACAAAAGGCAGAAACTCCTCACAAAGCTCCTCGCTAACAAGGCCTGTGAAAGATCAGTCTGATCAAATAAGCAGCCCATATCAAAAATGATGTGCACAATCAACAAGTGAACTTCGTTAGGACTAATCAATCAATCAATATCTCCAATAAAAAAAAGCTGCAGGGACACCAGGAAGAACAGCAATTGCTTCAATTTTCTTGACAAAAAGGGCATGTAAAGTAAGGGCATGACAAACCCTCACCATGCCTAGAAATGTTAGCTGCATCACAAATCCCTAGCAATCACCACGTATTCCTGGTGTATTTTTGAGGCTTTCTTCCCACAGAAGGCAGCTACTGACACTGGAACATTGCAAGTTTTCTGCTTTCCTCTCTCAGGAAATATTTTGTTTATCAAAACATCTACTCAACTTTCTATTTAAGTTTCCTTTTTCTTTGTACCAAAGACAAAGCTAAGGAAGAGACCGCAGGATTTCAGCTACGTTTTCACTCAAGGACAAGTATAAGAAGATTGAAAGTATACAGAAAATAAATATACTTTGAAAGTACTCTTCTCTTCTTCGGAAGAATTTACACAGAATATTTTACTTAGTGATAATCCCAAATTTAAGCTTGCAAAGTAAGACTGAGATCTCTGTAAACAACTCTGGGAGGTGAAGATACACATTAAGAACATGGGTTTTGTATAACAGGACTAGGAAAAACAAAAAAGCTTTGCCCATGCTAATGCAAAGAATGATACTGCTGAAAAAAAGAACTATATCCAAACCAATCCAGCCTGAAGGTACACTGTGCTAGTCACAGACAAAAACACCAGCACAAGTTTAGTCTCAGGTCTCTTGTCCCTTTCATATACACCTGTATTTGCCTGACCTTTCAAGCTATTTTTTTGCTTAAATACAGTTTCATGTGTTAGCAAAGAAAACAGACCTCTGAGACTCTGTAAATACATTCCCTGAACAGAAACTCTTCAGACTGTAAAAGCCACAAAGATGTGAGCAATATTCTAAATTAACAGAAATCAAAATGGACCATGCTGCTTTGTCACACATACCTTGACATAGGCAGAATAGTTCTCTCTTCGTGGTAATCACTGTCACATTCATTTATATACTCTCTTAAAACAGTCAACACTCTCACCATCCGTATTGCTTCTTGTCTGGCACAATTGATACTGTCTTTATCCCCATCCAACACACACAACGTATCATAGGAGGCTTTGAGACGATCGAAACAGGACTGAATGAAGTCTTCATGAATCACTACCTAATTGCATCAAGAAATTGGTGCAATTACAAGAAATATTAAAAATCATCTTTTCATCGGGACAATCCAATGGTAGAAGATAAAAAAATGTAAAAAAAAATCCCCCAAACCAAAACAGGTTACTCAATAAAGCTGTTTTATTCCACAATCCCCAGCAATAAGTAGCTCTAATATAGTCTGCACTTCAAAAATCTGCATGTCATCAGTAGCTGGAACTGTACAGTGCAAAAATCCATCAGTAGCTGCAACTGTACAGTACAAACTTCAGATAAATAGAAAAAGTGAAAAGTCTGGACAGAGAACAACACTAAAATGGACTTCCTCTTACTTATTTTCTCAGACAACATTGAAGAATCTCTAGCTGACAATCTAGTACAGGTTAACTTACTTTACACTAAGTGAAAGAGTGAACACAGAATGTTTGCAGACTACCAGAACACCTATCCCTCCTGCCCCAGACTCCAAAATCACACAGCCAAGTTCCAGCCACACATTTCCTGCATAAATTCAGCAAAGGATTTTAAGCTAGATTCCGTGGAGTGGCAGCTGTAGCAAATCTCTCCCTTCTGCCTGGTACCTAACACCTCCTTGCTCCTGACCCAGACTGACACAACCTGCAGTGTCTGCAACAGGAGCACCAAGAGTCACTGCAGCAAACCATAGTTCAGGAGCAAAGGAGCTCCCAGCACACTGAAAAACAATACTTGTGTGCATGTTTAGTCACTCCAACACTTCTCCAAGTGTCAGATCTAAGCATGTGCAGATGGACAGATCGCTGCCTGCTCGGTAAGCCCAGACCTATAGCAAGAGAGCAGCCTACAGCCATCTGCCACTGCAGCAAGACACAGCCTGAATGGCTGTAAATGCACCACCCAGAGCAGCTGTGCTGGATCTAGCAGACTGGCAGCTCTGAAGACTATACAAGTGTCTTTGATGACAAGTACGAAAATTGGTGTTTGAAGAAATAAAAGTGGCAAGCCATCCATTGGAGACTATCCAAGGACAATATCCCTCCACCAAGGCAGGGTCTCACAAGAGCAGAGCAGAGGGGTAGAATCCCCTCCCTGGACCTGCTGCCTACACTGCTTGGGATGCAGCAGGACACAATTAGCTTTCTGGGCTCCTAGGACACACTGCCAGGTCATGCTGAGCTTCTCATCCACCAACATCCCCCAAATCCTCCTCCTCAGGGCTGCTCTCAATCCATTCTCACCCAGGACTTCGCACTTGGCTTTGTTGAACTTCATGAGGTTCTCATGGGCCCATCTCAACCCAGTCAAAGACCCTGTGGATGACATCCCTTTCTCTGACCTTCCAGAAACTCATTATCTCTTCTCTGCCCACTGAAGCACAGCTCCCAGCAAATAATAATGCAGGGACATAACACCTGATTTGCTAGAGCTTAGCTTGACCATTATAAGGAAACTCTGTGACCCTTTGTAAAGGACATGACAGCAAAAAAGAGATTACATTAGCTTGTGACAACACCCCACAGACCCAGCCAGTGAACATACTAGTACAGAGAAGTGCCACAGATGGAAGTTCAACAAAAAGTTTTCCTAAGTATATGACATCTGTTCTGAGTAAAAGAGCAAATACAACAGATGAACTTAATATGAAAAATTTATCAGAGTTCAGAATGCAAATATGAAAAGAAACTCTTTAATCCTGAACCTGAATTCAGAACCTGATGGCTGAACTCAGGAGCATACTCTCCAAAATGTTAAAACTATTCTGTTCTCAAATCTTTCAGCTATGCCTTTTTGTTTTTACCTGATTAACTTGTAACCTTGGGCCAAGATTAGTATAGATCTCTTTAAGAAGGTCTATTGCTCTGTTTGCGATGTCATCGTTTCCCTGAATCACAACCTATTGTGATTAAAAAAAAGCATTAGAACATTTCAAAACTTTCTGGTATAAAATTTAAACACAAAACAACTACCAAAGTATCCTGACACAACAGTAGTCTAATTATTTTGAGGTGAAAGTGACTAAAATGCTTAGTTACAAATACAAACAATACAACTTACACTAAAGGTAAATACATGAGTCAAAATTCAGAACTAACTCATTTTAAAGGGGTTCAGAAATAGCAAAAAAGTCAATGTTGTATGAAAGAATAAAAGCAGTGCTCATCTATTTCTGCACATTAGATTTCCATTTTCTCTAGTCTCAGAGAATAAGACAACTATTTTTCATATGCTTGAACAATCTGCATCACCAAACAGAATTTTCAAGTACTTAAGTGACTGTGAGTGGGTGGAAGGGGAACAGGCAAATGAGTTCTGCTGCTGACCTGATAATCTGAATTTTAACTACTAGCCACCAGGGCTGATAGCAGTCTTCAGAGACAATGCCTGCAGGATACTGAGCTGAAGCTCCATGAGTTTTGTCCTGCTGCCAAGCAGCAAGGCAGATCAGAGCGAGCTGATTCCCACAGCTAAACCATGTGTGGGCACCTTGTTCAGAAACACTGTTTTTACACAAACCCGTGTAAAAAAAAAACTGTCATCTACTTAGGTTTTAACTATTATCACCAGGATTACAATACCTAACCCCTCAACAAGCCAGAACCAAAATTACTCAAGACTGCTGCTGTACACGTTTTACAGAAACACAGCCAGGATCATCGTGTCAGTGTACCACTGTGGGTTCTAATGCAGCTCCTGAGAACCAGAAACACTCTGAAAACAGTAACAAATCAGATACTGATGTTTTTCACCAATAGATTTGGCAAGCTTCAGAAAGTACAGCCTTCCTACTGGAAAGGAAGATTCTGTATGTACAGAACAGGTGGATATCTAGAATATATAGACACTATGCCACCACCATGTTTAGGCAAAACACTGTGGTTATAAGAGACAGAATCAGACCAGTGATTACTTGGTCTGATCTAGAATCACTCCAGGTCACCATACTAGAAGGAATGCCATGAACTAGCTCATGGAGTGCACAAAACAAAGTTTAAAGATAATGTTCACATGAAAGAGAGAAATCTACAGATAATTCACCAGGAAGGATCCTTATTTTTCAACAGTAGAGACAAATACAAATCTCATGTGTATACAACAATATTCTTATGTCACAAATCACTTTCCATTAAACATCAGTCTGCAAAACTTGCACACTCGCTGGGCCAACAGTGGAGTCAGGAACATTTAGATTGAAAACGTAGATTTTTGTCATATCAACACACAACTAAGAAATGACATTCCTAACCATATAAAGAGACTGAGAAGACTTTGCAGTTAACATTTGAGACGTTTCCTCCAATTAACTCACCCTCCAAAGGTAGTCTAATCCTATTAATTCCAGATCATCCATCATATAGGCTCGTCTCTTTGCTACTAGCTTTCCTTCTCGACAGTTCACAGCTTTGAAGAAACGTTCAAAACATTTCATTCCATTTTCTGTTAATAGGGAAGGATCCAGCTGAAGCACATTATTTTCAAAGAAGTCCTTATTAATGTCAGGGTCTAAGTCTGGTTCATCCCCCATTAGTTTGGAATACCATTTAAAACAGGCTTCGCGATCACAAAGATAAACTGCATTTTCAGCTAAACACTTCCATATTTGCTTCGCCTGAGGGGCACAGAGCCACAGCTGACCATCCTTCAATAAAAATCTTGAGCAAAACAAAGAGACAATTAACAGCACTGTCTAAGAGACATCCAGAGTTACAATTCAGTAAAAAGTACAGGCACAAAGGTGAAAATGCATATTATACATGTATCTATCACAGCACCACCCTCAAAACTTTATATACATCATCAGTCCACTCATCATTAGCCCTATGATTTCTTAGCAAGTTCGAATGGATCAACAGTTTATATTCCAAACAAAGAAGAAACAAAATTCAGCAAAAATGTTTTACACAACAATATCAAGCATTGTTCACACTTTATACCCAAAGAAATGCAGATCTCCTAATGTGAACCATTCAGTTGAAAAGTTAGGTTACGACCTAAGAGAACAAATTAATTCTGCAATCATTCATTATGGTTCAACACTTGCTTTAGCAACACAGGTATCAATTCTATGGAACAGAGCCAGAAGCAGAGGCCAATGAACTGGAAATTTTCCTTTTATTTCAGCAAGTGTTTAGTTTGTGTTAAATTATTATGGTTATTAAGAGCTCCAATTCTGGGCATTAACACTAAGAATGTTTCAGGAAGAACAAATGATAACCAAAGTTCTTTATAATCATTTTTTCTGATTCAAAAATCTTTTCTACGTGAAAGAAATCAGGGACTAAGTTCTGGCACTGCTTCTCAGAAATTGCTACATACATATTCCTTATCTGACAGCAATGGGACTTCATAAATTCATTAACAAATAGTGAGCATAAATCAAAGGAAGTTACAACTGCTAACATGCAGAAGCAATAAATTAAGTCTGCTATTCATATGCTATTGTATAATTTCATTACACAGTTAATAGTTCAGCTTAATTCCTAAAAATTCTTGGTAAAATTTTAAAAAGGAAAAAATCCCCGAGAAAATAAGTAAAAAATACTTCAGAATTTGACAGTTCAATTGTTTTTACTTGTCTAAAAAAAGGCTAAGACCAAGTAAGAAAGAGCTGAGAGAGACTTAGACTAGAAATCATGGAAATACTGCAGCTCTACGATGAGCAGAGATCCAGTTTCCTTATTTTACTCTGCTAACAGCAGTTAGCCAAAAGTCAACCAAGTAACTTTTCCATTCCAGTCTCTTCCCAAGGCTCAGTTACTGACAACACAACATCAGTGGCTGACAAAGGCATATGTCAGTTTGTGATCATGGACTGAAATCTGGCGTGGTACAGCGGATAAGGACACGTGGCCATATCCCTACTTGGAATATTCTGAATTTTCAGCTCAGTCACCCCAATAGGTGTGTAACTGCACATTGCATTCAAGCCAGCAGTGTTCTGCACACAGACAGGAAAACACACACAAATCCTAGTGCAGAACTGCAAAGATCCTAACAGACTTTATTTGAATATTCCAACAGTAGCACAGAAGCTCTTTGGGAAAAAACCAAACCAAAACCATTTAGTGTCTTTTTGCATCTGAGTTTTCAAAGCAGTTAACACAACTTAAAGCTACGTAAGAAGAAGATGTGCAAAGGGTTTCTTTTTCTTTTAAGTATTCAAAGTATTCTTACAGCAGTTAAACAAATGTCCAAGTGAAAACTAACCGTAAGAAGTTCAGTCGCTCCTGCACTTCCTGCACATGACTGTATCTGCTTCCTGGTCTTACAGTCTGGGGATCATACTCACCATGCTCTGCAAACAGAAGGTTTGATTAGACAAGGCACTCAGAAAAGACACACTGACTCCAAGAGGCAGGATGTGTTTGAAGACTTGTTTGTCTGAACAAATCAAAACCACTCCAACCCCAGCAAATTTTCAGTATGTATGGAGAGAGTTTGCAGCATTTTGCCACCAGTTAGCCTTTCATCCAAAATAAAAATGAGTATGGCCAAAGACTACTCAGGTCTATAATCAAACTAAATGTGTGCAGATACATGTGCTCATTGTTCAGTATAATGACAATATTACAGAACAATTAAGAACCTCCATTCTACTTATTCAAACCTGTTTTTCCTAATTCCAAGCAGTTGGTCTGAAGGCAGAAGTTAGTTAAAACTAAAAGTAAACCAAGCACATAATTCAGATTATCCAGTGGGTTGGGGTTTTTTTATTTCGGAGGAAGCTTTAGTTTTGTTACAGAGCATCTTGTCCAAAATTTCCTTTTCCCATTTTTAGGCTTTTTCCTCTCCAGAGGAAATCATGACTCCATTTCCTTAACACCTTTACAAGCACTTATGTACACAACATCACTCAACAGAAGAAACTATAAGGCAATTTTACTCCAAGTTTCCAAATACAAACCCCAAACACCTGTAATAGTGACAAGCCTGAAACAGAAGCAATTTGAAAGCAAGGCAAGAAGGTGAACTTTTACTTGCATTTTGCCAAATCTCAGCATAATTTGCTTAACAAACAGCTGTTTGCTTCAGAGGAACATGGTTTTGGTGTGGTTTTGTTTGGTGTTTGGCTTGTTGTTTGGGCTTTTTTAATTAAAAGAGATACAATCTAGACCTGCACCTGCACTACCTTTGTCTGTACTAGCAGTAGTTCACCATAACACATGTTCATTAGCACAGCCCCTTTATAAACTAATTAATGATGTATTTCTAATTTGCAGAGGTCTGCAGATGAGCTTTAATGTGGATGACCCAGCTGTGGTAGGCTATATCAGGACAACATCATGACTAATAATAAAATTTATTGTGAGAGCTGAAAATCAGTATCTCCTATTACATCAAGGAGGGGCAAAACACCCAAGCCAAGCCAAACAAGTCTAACAGCTGAAGTGCATCAATGTTTCAAAATCAGAGAAAAAGAATTTTCATAAATATTGCTCTCTATAGCCAAGTGCACAAGGTACATTAACTTACAAATCAAAGAGGAAACTAAAGATTAGCAGTTAAGTGATGCCAACAAAACCACAGACATTATGCTCACCAGAAATCCTTCAAAACTTAAGATTATATTACTAGTGATCATAAATGGAAAATTATCGAAAGAAGAAATGTGAAAAAAAAATCTGAAGAATGGATATGAAAGTAGTGAACAAAAACCATTTAAGTATTTTAAGTAAACGCATAAAATATGTTGTGGCTCTCTGTTGGGTAGATAAGCATATTCAGAGAGATTAAACTAATTACTTGGAAGTATTGGGTGATTCAGGTGGGATTTTTGTTTGATTTTGTTTTGTTAAAGAGGAGGTGGTGGTGGTGGTTTATTTCCACTACGAGGACAATCTGGGCTTCTTTCCCTGACTTGAGTTTAATGCACAGACACAGTGTCAGCAGTGGCAATGACAGAAGAACTCCAGCAGCCACAGCCAGGCAGTTGCCCAGAGGCAGTCTGTGTGTACTTCAGAATTCTGAAAAGCTCTCAACTACAAAAAAATTCTGTCTCCCTAAATATTCTCCATATCAGATTCTTTCTACATCTGCCAGATTTATTTTCTACACTGTGCAGCATCCCACAGCAAGCCCAAGTGTGATCTCCTTAAAAATTCTTTTTACATACTGGAGCAGAAGAATGAACAGAAAAATTATGGATCAAAAAATGACTGGCTGAAAATTTAAGTGCAATTAGTGATGAACCCACATAGAAGATCTTATGGCACAATTTCTACAAACAATTACATTGCATTTACACTTTGGATTTTTTTATCATTCCAGAAAAGCAGAAGACAGGGCAGAAACGACTAACAATCTTTTAAAACTTCCAAAAGGTCTTAGAAAAATTGGCAAAAAGATGAAACTGTGACCTCCTTCATGACTACAGAGCACAACAGCAGTTGCCTCATCACACAGAGGACTTTGCAGGGTTGGAGGAAAGGGTGAGCCCAGTACGAGGAAAAGTCATAGAGCATGGAAAAAAGTCAGAAACAGAGATTAGGCTTCTCTTTAATGTTAAAAAGGCACAGAACTATATTTTAGTGAATAACAGGAGAACACTGTTCTCCATCATGGAACAAACCTTTGGAAGACTTCCAGGAAAAAAATACAGTCAATTTGAAATTACTTAAAAAATATCCAAAACTACAAAACAATTGCAGTGTTAACTGCCAAAGAGATCTGTGGACAACTGTATTTTTTTCTGTGGCACTTGTTTGACCTGTGCTGTTGGGATATTTGCCTTGAATTTTCTCCCTCTGTCTCATTCACCTTCTCCAGCCAAGCTTAATTCTGCAGCTGTCCAGTTCTTTCTGTCCTCACATGCATGATCTCCTGTCTTCTCCTTTCATTTATAAGCCCCTTTGGCATATTTTCTCCTCCCCTAGGAAGGCATGGAAGACAAGACTTCATAGTGTTCGCTCTCTGTTCTGCTCTAATTAGTATATAAAACTGAAACTGAAAGAGTTTTTGCACAGAAACTGCGTATTACTGGCTTAGTACAGTATCTGGAACATTTGGAGATATCTTCTGGTTGCCCTTAATCATGTACTAAAGCAGCTAATAAAAAAATCCACACTATTATTCATCTGGTTTTGTACTCTGATGCAAATGAGAAGTTCTGCAGCAGCTTTGCCTCAAGAAAGCACAATTTAATTGCTTTGTAATTAGATTAAATTAAAACCCTTTACACACATGTAATTCCTATCACACTGAAGATGTTCATATTCCTGGCTTCACTGAGTCATTACAGCTGGGGAGGGGCAGGACAATGGGATGTGACTGAAATTAGTGAAAAACAGTTCACACATTAATAGCATGTCTAGGCTATTCTGGGACAAAGACAGCAGTGCTTTAGAATACAGATGTTGATTAGTTTCCTTCCTAACCCCGAGGCCAAACCTCAGATTTCAAAGCTGGCCAAAGTCCACAAGAAAGAATAACAGAATCATAGATTCTAAACTATCAATATAATTGAAATGTGGAGTTCAGTACAAACAAAATGGCATTTTTACATTATGTTAGCAAAGTTAAAGAGCACTCCAACAGCTTACAGAAGTTACATAAGACTTGTTCTCTTCTACCTTCCTGTGAAGACTAAGCCTGAGACAACACAGTATGACTTGAGAAAGATCAAATCATTGGGCATTATGTTAACATTAATTAGAATCACAGAATTACAGAATATTCAGAGTCAGAAGGGACCCACAAGGATCATCAAATCCAACTCCTGGCCCTGCACAGGACATCCCCAAGAATCACACCATGTACCACCTGAGAACACTGTCCCAATGCTTCTTGAACTCTGCCAGGCTTGGTGCTGTGAGCACTAGTGCAATGCTCTCATTAATTAAAGAACCTAAATCAGGGCAGCCCTCCCTTGGATTCCTGAACAGAGAACTACAGCTGCAGTACAGATCTGATTTACATGTCATCCTCTCTGACCTATGCCTGGCTGAAGCCAACATCTTCAGAGGGCACCACTATTCACACAAGTCCCTGAGGATGTATTTTTGGTATCTTTTATATTTTATATA